TAAAGTTGCAACGCAAAAATTCAAAGTCAAAATAGTGTCACATTGTGAAATATAGTCATGAGAAACACTTTTTGTTACATATTACCATAGAAAAAATGTCACTTTCACTTTTTTAAAAACTAAATTTTTAATATTAATATATATTTTTAAATTTTAAAGAGCTTTTTTTGTTTTGTCCCCGGAAGAGCTCAGGTGGAGCTGGAGCAAGAGCTGCTGTTGGATGGGACAGTGGTCAGTGCAGCGTTTGACAACGCCATGGACATGGGGATTGTGGGAACGACAGCGGGAACCCTGTGGTATATCAACTGGGCCGACAGCACCAGTATACGTCTGATCAGCGGGCATAAGAGCAAGGTACATCTGATCCCTGCCAATCTGATTACACCTATTTTTAGCTGTTAAGTTCATCCATAGCAAAACCTTCCAGAAACAGGAAGTTGAAATGAATCCGAAACGATTCTAATTCTAAAAGCAGCAACTTCTACTCAAACGCCCCCAGGTGAACGGAGTGGTTTGCAGTCCTGATGAGAAGCATTTCGTGACGTGTGGGCAGGACGGCAGTGTGAGAGTTTGGGCACTGCAGAGCCACGAGCTGCTGGTGCAGTTTCAGGTGCTGAACCAGGTGAGGAGAAACACACTGATAACACACTGATGCTGTATGTGTGCAGGACACCACACTTTAACACTCACACAAACTTTATGTTTGGTGCTGCAGATGCCTGCAGACATTTCTTCATAGTAGCCATCATTAACCTAATTTTGTGCATGACTTTGTACTGAATAATGTAATGTATCCACCTCAAATAAGATTTTAATGCCAATTTTATTCACATTTTGCTGTTTCCATCCAACGTTTTTAATGCGATAATCCAAAAGCTCATGTAAGCTTTGATGTATAGTACTGTTGGAAAGTTTGGGGTCAGTACAATCATTTTATCCTTTTATTCAGCAAGGATGCATTAAATTGATCAAAAGTGTCAGTAAAAAAGCATTTATAATGTTACAAAAGATTTCTATTTAAAAAACGCTATTTCTATTCATCAAAAATGTAAAAAAATGAACTGAACGCTTCCTTTTACAGTACAGTACTTACAGTGTACTTACCTAGAAAGTACTGGCTAATATAAGCCAAGTACATGGAACAGGGGTAGGTTCAGGGTTAGTACTAGTTATTGTAGTTACTAACATAAGTACATACTATTTACATGGGTAACTGGACTGTAAAAGGAAGCGTTACCCATGATTTCTAGAAAAATATAAATATAAATAAGCAGCAAAACAGTTTTTCAACATTATTAATAATAAGAAATGTTTTTTGAGCAGCAAATCAGCATATTAGAATGATTTCTGAATGATTTTACTGTAGCCTTGGTGAGCAGAAGAGACTTGTTTCAGAAAAATCGAAGCCGAACCCAAACTTTGAAACGGTAGTCAAACACTGCTAATGAACTCGTGTCAAACTCAGACAAGTTCTCTGCTATTGTTTAATTGTGTGTTTGAATGTATTGCAGAGCTGTGAGTGTGTGTGTTGGACTCCTCCGAGGGGGGTGTATGAGCCGAGCGGACACACGTGTGTCGCGGGCGGTTACAGTGATGGGACTGTGAGGATCTTCTCTCTGGAGTCGGCCGAAATGGTGCTGAAACTACAACCTCAGCCTGTGTCTGTGTGTGCGTTGCAGTACTCGCACTACGGTGAGAGAGTGTGTCCAGTGTCTGATCGTTTGTGTGTGTATGTTCACTATGTGCATGTGTGTGTAGGTCATGTGCTGTTGTCTGCGTGTCATGCTTGTGTGTATGTTCACTGTATGCATGTGTGTGTAGGTCATGTGCTGTTGTCTGCTGGTCATGATGGTCTCATCACGGTCAGTAGTCCCGCCACTGGAGTCACTGTACGCACCATCAGTGACCACAAGGGGGCGCCCATAACTACAGTGCAGTGCACCAGCAAACAGGTTTGTGCTTGTATGTGTGTCCTTGGTTTTCTGTTTTGTAAGGCAAATGTATCAACATTATGATGTGGAATTGTGGGACATACCCAAAATGTATTTGGGGACTTGAGTCACTCAAAAGAGAAATGCATGAATTTTATTCAAAGACAGTCAGACCTCAAACTTGAAGATGAAAAGTGAACATTAGCGAAGAGAAAAGATCCTGCAGGATTTAAGACACAAAGATACGTTGTTACTTAAGTGTTACTTACGTGTCTAAATACTTATAGGGTTATTAAATGAGTAGAGCTGCAATCAGAATTAAACCGAAATCACATTGTGGCTTAGCACGATTATCTAATTGCAAAGGCTGTGATTTAATCCAATAAATGCATCTGTTCTGTGTGTTTCAAGTGAAGTGTGATGCTGTGTTCTTGTACACGCGAGCAGCTCACCTCACAATGCTATAACGTTTGAACAGGAAGAAATTAAAACAGCCATAAATATGAGTATTGGACAGCTATACTGAAAAATAAAATAATAATTATATTATTATTATTATAGTATTATTTTTTAAATATTAGTTTTATTTTACTATGAAATATTACAATAGTAAAATGTCTTGTTTTGTTTAATATTTTCTAAATAAAAAGAATGTTATTTATGTCAATGGTAATTAATGTTATTGTAATAATAATGATAATAATAATAATTATTATTATAACAATAATTTCTTATTATTTTGATAATTATTTTTTATTAAATAAAATAAATGTAACTATAATAATATGAATAAATTAAATTATTAATAAAAATAAATTATTATTATATATTAATATTATACACATTATAGTTACATTTAGTTTATTTCATAAACAAATAATTTTCAAAATAATAAGAAATTATTGTTATAATAATAATAATTATTATTATCATTATTATTACAATAACATTAATTACTTATTATTTTGATAATTATTTTTTATGAAATAAAACAAATGTAACTATAATAATAATAATAATAATTTATTTTTAGTATTATTTTTTATACTATTATTATTTTAATATTATTAATAATTATTATTATTATTAATATTATTATAGTCATATTAATATATAATCACAACATTTTGGGCCCGCAAATTTGTAGCTTTTTTAAAATCACATTTTAATTTACAATCACAATTTTATATCAGAAAAATCACAATTGTATTTTTTTACTCAAATCGTGCAGCTCTATTTCTGAGAGATTAAATTAGTGTGTGTGTGTGTGTGTGATGATATAAATGTCTTCTAGTATAAGGAGTTTGGTCTGGAAGGGAATGAGCTCTGGTTGGCCGTGAGCTCAGACAGGCGTGTCAGCATCTGGGCTGCTGATTGGACGAAGGATAAGTGTGAGCTGCTTGATTGGCTGACATTCCCAGCACCCGCCCCACCAGAGGTGATTGACCAATAAATACGCCCTGACCGTGTTCATATGTTATGTACAGTTACACTTTGTCTTATTGAGCTGCTCTGATCAGTCAAAGGTTCATATTGTAGTGGAAAAGTCTTAAGAAGTAACGTTTGTCTTTTAAATCAGGATGCACTTCCATTACCTCCCAGTCTGGCAGCGTTCAGCCCCAGTGAGAGAGGAGTGGTGGTTTACACCGGCTACGCTGTGGAAAAAGAGATCATCTTTTACTCTCTTTACAAAAAACAGGTACTCACACACTGATTTATACACACACACACACCTTTAAAACCATGAGCGTATACCTCAGTTGTCTCTCCACACAATTTCACTGACCAATTGAAATCGTCCTGAGAGATTGTGAGATAATGATGCAGGGGTGTTTTGTTGTCTAGGTTTTGAGGACGATCTCTCTGGCCGATTGGGCACTGTGTCTCAGTCTCTGTTCGACTGGAAGGCTGCTCGCTGTTGGATCAAACCGTCAGTGTGCCTGTACTGTTTTACTTACAAAGTCTTTGAGAGGTATACGGTCACCTAACAGCGATGCCTTGTGTTTCAGAGCGCGTCCTGAAGCTGATTCATTCCTCCAGCGGGCGCTTTCAGGATTTCCCGTCTCACAGTGACTCGGTTCACGTGTGCAGCTTCAGCTGGTCTGGATCTCAGCTCTTCACTGCTGCTCATAATGAGCTCTTACTGTGGGCTGTACACGGCTTATAACGTCTGGAGAACACTAATGCTGCGGTCGGTTTAATGGTTTGGGTTGCAGCAGTTACTCGGATTGCAGATTTAACTTTTTTTGTTCAATAGAAATGTTGTATTGATGCAGCAGAGCAGTTCTGCCATGTTTTGTATCGAGTTGAACTTTTATTAATGAACCGTTTTTGTAGTCTTTTAATTTGTTTTTAATATTTTTTTGAATGCATTGTACTTTACTAATACTTTTTAGACTGTTTAAAATGATTTTGCTAGTAAGAAATACCCTGAAGTTGTCATGCACTTTGATAAATAAAATTCATTAAAAATCTGAAGTACTCGTGTCTGCATTAAATAAAGCCATTGGCACACAGTTACAGTAAACAGAAGCTTATTTTTACACTTACAAAATCACTTTCATTCATTTGTCTCATGTAAATTCGAATAATATAATAAAGCTTTTTTAATTGTTTTGTTTATTTGAAAAAAACAACATATCATATGAATGATTAATGCTTTTAATGGAACCGTAAATGTCCATATGTTATTACCAAAACAGGCTAATATATCCAAGCTATTAATCGTTTTGTTGATTTGAAAAAGCATAAAAATATTAGTTTTTAATATAATGTAGTATCATATGAATGATTAATGCTTTTAATGGAACTGTAAATGACTATATTATTACCAATTCAGGCTAATATGATTAAAAAAAAAAGAAAAAGCAAATGATTTTATTTAATCTCAGGAAGGCTCCATTAATATAATAAAATTAATTAATATTATAAGTCACAACTGTTTAATATTGACGCACAAATATAGAAAATAAATAATGATATTAATAAAGTTGAAGTAAATAGAAGTAATATTAATAAGTTGAAGTAAATGCTCAGTAGAGGGCGCTCCATTTGGGCTCCAACCGGAAGTCCCTAGCGCTGCCAGTTTCTTTGACTGGAATGGGGCTAATAGAAACTAGCTCTGAGCTTTGAATTGAATTTGAAGTTTTTGGAAAAGATAGACGCAGCTTTTCGCCAAGTTCAATAGAGAGTGGAGTGAAATGAAACGCGATGTCCGGATACTGCTGTTGGGGGAACGTAAGATGTGATTTTGTCTATTAAATGTCAAGGGGAATAAATGTGACAGTTTAATGAAAGTTAGCATGATTAGAGAGCGCTAACCCTCAACCTTGAGCCGCTGCAGGAATGATCTGAAGTAACGTTAAACACACGGTTTATTTAGTGCTGGCATTTTTGTTGTTGTTTGCAATCATGCAAAATGAAAACACAAGAAAATTAACTTTATGAACAAGCGAGCAAGTTCTTCACACAGATTATAGGCTAATTACAATGTAGTCAAACTCTAGAAGTTGAATTAGACACTATATACTATATATATATATATATATATATATATATATATTCATATACACATATTATTTATTCAATAGATATTTACATGTGATATAGATATTCATTTTTAAAAACTCATGACACACCAATGTATTTATTGGTTTGAGTAGTTTTGCTCATTTTGACAGATTGAATTCATAATTTAATTTCTCCAACCTCTTGATTATATTCGAATGATTGAATCTGCTCATTAATTCTTCGTTGAGTGATTGACAATGGTGTTGACATGCTAACTATCAATGTGTGTGAGTGTGTGCCTCGTGAAAGAGTGAAGAGTAAACAGATCCTCCTGCTGCTGTGACACAATGCACGTATTCACACACACACACACACACACACACACACACACAGACTTCAGCCTGATGATATTGCTGGGGATTTACACTACCTGGTGGTGTTTTAAATGTCTCTCTATTTGATCAGAAACACAGTACAAATAAATCAAAGTCTTTTTATTGGGAATAACTATTATTGTATTCTTTGTCATCCACTAGCCAAAGTGGGAAAGACCTCTCTCATCATGTCTCTGGTCGGAGAGGAGTTTCCTGAGCAGGTGAGTTTACCCATGAGCCTCTCTGGTAGTGTGTTGGACTGGTGCTGTAAGATGAAGCTCACTTGTTTGTGCCGTCAGGTTCCTCTCCGGGCGGAGGAGATCACCATTCCTGCTGACGTCACGCCTGAGAAAGTGCCCACACATATAGTCGACTACTCAGGTGTGTGTGTGTGTGTGTGTGTATAATGAAATATTTGCCCTTTAGCATTTTTTTAACACTCAGTGTCTCTCTTCAGAAAGTGAACAGTCTGATGAAGTGTTAAGAGAGGAAATTGTAAAGGTAGGATGTGTTCTAGTTATGTTATTTTCATATGATCATTCACAAATCATTCTAATACGCGGGTTATTATTGTTACTTAATTATTAACGATGGTTCTTTGCTGCTTAATAATTTTGTGAAAACCATTTTCCTTTTTTTTCAGGATTCTTTTGTTTGATAAAACAGCATTTAAAAACATTTACGTCTAATCAATTGAATTAATTATTGCTGAATTATATAAAATAATATAAATATAAAATATGATGAATATAAAAGTATTAATTTCTTTTCACTCAAAACGTTAAAGTGTATGATGGTTTCCACAAAAATATGCAGCAACTGTTTTCAGTATTGATAATCAGAAATGTTTCTATGTTAAAAATCATTTTATATTCCAAACTTATGACCAGTAGTGTGTCTGTGTATATGTATGACGATCATTGTTTTCTCGTTTGTAGGCCAATGTCGTGTGTGTGGTTTATGATGTCACCCAAGAGGAAACCATTGACATGGTATTGGATTTCTTCAACATTATCACTATATTTTTGTCTTTTATTTCCACTGATTTTATCCTCGTCTTTTCTCTCAGATCAGGACTAAATGGATTCCTCTGGTCAATGGAGGCGCTGAGAAAGGAAGCAAGTATGTCTCTGATGCCCATGTAAATGCACCTACGTATTTTTTTTTGGGACTTTCCTTGAAAAATGTCACATTTTTTTGCTGTAGGATTCCCATCATCCTCGTGGGCAACAAGTCTGACTTGCGCTCCGGCAGCTCCATGGAAACCATCCTGCCAATCATGAACCAGTTTTCGGAGATTGAGACCTGTGTGGAGGTTTGAACCACTGACTCAAACTCAAATACATGTTTGACACTGTAGACACACACACGAGTGTGTGAAAGGGGTTGTTTATCACTCTTATTCTAGTTTAGTTTTCTCCTGTAGTCATCTTTTAAGAACTTGGTCAATGTTTCCTGCATTAGAAAGTCATAATTACATTTTCCATGATGACCTCTCTCTGATGCGGAGAATTAAACAAAGCTCTGTTTGCTGCTGTGATTGGCTGACCTCGTGTTCTGGACTGGAGAGGGCGTTTTGTTTTGGGAATGTTATGGTTTGCATACATTAAACTAGTATTTCAAAAGTGCAAGAAACCTTTGTTTTCCGTGGCATGACCCGCTGGATTGCCGTAGCTGTGGTTTTACCAGCGAGTTAATCTATTCCAACACTCTTAAACGATATAATCTGCAGCATAGTGTATAGATTAGCATATGCAACTACAATCATTCATTCAACTCTGTGTGGCTTGTTAGACTTTCTAGTGTCGTTTTTATTTGTTTTGTTTGGAGGGGTTTTAGAATTTTTTTTTTTATTTATTTATCTTGAATTTATTTTTATTTTAGTTTAAACAATTATAGTAGCATGTATATAAAATAAAGTATATAAATATCATACACAATTATATTCATATGATGTATACATTTTATTATGAATATAAAATTATATATATATATATATATATATATATATATAATTTTATATTCATAATTAAATTTATATATATATATATATATATATATATAATTTTATATTCATAATAAAATTCACAATCCAAAACATAATTTATACAAATATCATAATTCAATAGTATTTAATTAATAATTTATTTTGCTAAACATATTTATTGAAGTAATATACCATTGATTTTTTATTGCAATTTATCGTCTTTTTTTCCCCTAATATCCGAGTGAAACGGCCTCTGGAACAAGAACAAATGTGGGCGGAGCTTGATTTTGTCTGTGGGGAATTGATTGGATGGTTGTGGTTTGCTATTGGTGGATCTGATGTGAGTGACAGGTTGCCCCGCCCTCTCGCCAGTAAACACACAGTCAGAGAAGAGATGTCACTGCAAGAGGGAAGGGATGAGATTTTGATTATAAATTACAAGGGCACGTGTCATGAATTAAAAAAAATAATGATGTGCACGAATAAATAATTTATAATAAATACACAATATACCACCAAAAATGTCAATTTTGATGTCATTGTGACTAAAACGTAGTGCTTAGATAGCAGCCTTTTAGCCTGGGTGTCCAAGAATACTGTACAAGGGTGTAAATGATGATTACATGATGATGTATTTGTGTCCGCAGTGCTCAGCTAAGAATCTGAAGAATATTTCTGAGCTGTTCTATTACGCCCAGAAGGCCGTTCTACACCCGACTGCTCCGCTCTACGACCCCGAAGACAAACAGGTGCGCACACACACACACTAGTACATCTCTCCCTGCGAGTACATGTGGCGTTCTGAATGTTCGTGTGTGTTTGTGCAGCTGAAGCCGCAGTGTGTTCGAGCTCTGAGTCGAATCTTCAGCATCTCTGATCAGGATAATGATCACATACTCAGTGACGCTGAGCTCAACTGCTTTCAGGTGAGCTAACAAACTTGAGCTTCACACTTTTGAAATGTGGCCAGTTAAACAGCAGAGAATAATGTAAGGCAGGATTTTATATCCTGAATCAAACATGTGAAGTTTACTAAACGCTTTTTCCCTCGCCTATCAGTCAGCAGAAAACTTGTTTAAAAGGTACACAAAGTTGTTACAGTCATATGAAGTATTATGAAAAATGTTCTTCTAAATTGTTTACGTTTTATGAATTTTGTTATGTGCTTTTTTTATTCATTTCTTTTTTTTTTTAGCTTTAATTTTTCATATTTTGTTTTAGGAAATTTAGTACGTCAGCTTAAATTAATTTTATTTTATTTAACTGCTAAGGCAACAGTTTGCATTTTTGTTTACGTTTTGAAAGTTGTATTTTTTGTCTAATATTTAGCTTTTATTTATTTCAGCTTTATTTCAATTAATGGAAAAAAAATTAATCATTTAGTTAACAAAAACAATAGTGATATAAACAGTATATTTGTATGGCAGTGTGTGTGCGTGCATGTGTGTTTGTGTTCGTACCTGGTAAACCCTACGTTATATGGCCCTAATGTCTCTACAAGGCAAATAATACCAGTCATTTTTGACCTTGTAGGGAATTTTTTTTTTTGGAAAACAGCTTAAATCATACAAAATTATTATGTTTTTTTTTTTTTTTTTGAAAATGTAAAAATTCATAAAGTTTTTTGATGGGTAGGGTTGGGGTAACGGAACATGCAGTTTGTACAGTATACAAATCATTGTCTATAGAAAGTCCCCTTAAAACATGGAAACCCAATGTGTGTGTGTGTTTGTGTAGAAATTGTGTTTCGGGAATCCACTGGCTCCTCAGGCTCTGGAGGACGTGAAAACAGTCGTGTGGAAGAACACCAGTGAAGGAGTCCAGGACAACGGACTCACACTCAACGGTAACAAACATCACATGTATATTCATGTTATGCACACTCTCTTGTGTATCTTAATTATAATTTACACACTCATGCTTTTGTGTTTTTTCCGTAGGTTTCCTGTTCTTGAACACTCTCTTTATCCAGAGGGGACGTCATGAGACCACCTGGACCATCCTGCGTAAATTCGGCTACGATGACACGCTTGAGTTGACGGATGACTACCTCTACCCACCGTACGTCTGTGCTAGACTTGTAGTCAAGACCGCTTAAACCGAGACCAAGACACTACCAAGACCAGAGGGTACCGAGACCAAGTCGATACTGAGACCAAGAGCGAGACAGAGACCAAGATCGAGACCAAGACTGAGACCAAGTCAAGACCGAGACCAAGACCCGAGACCAAGAGCGAGACAGAGACCAAGATCGAGACCAAGTCAAGACCGAGACCAAGACCCGAGACCAAGAGCGAGACAGAGACCAAGATCGAGACCACCAAGAGCGAGACAGAGACCAAGATCGAGACCAAGTCAAGACCGAGACCAAGACCCGAGACCAAGTCAAGACCGAGACCAAGACCAAGTCAAGACCGAGACCGAGACCAAGTCAAGACCGAGACCAAGACCGAGACCAAGTCCAGACCAAGACCAAGTCAAGACTAAGTCGAGACCAAGTCAAGACCGAGACCAAGTCAAGACCAAGTCGAGACCAAGCCAAGACCGAGACCAAGTCAAGACCGAGACCAAGCCAAGACCGAGACCAAGACCAAGTCAAGACCGAGACCAAGTCAAGACCGAGACCAAGTCAAGACCGAGACCAAGTCCAGACCAAGACCAAGTCGAGACTAAGTCGAGACCAAGTCAAGACCGAGACCAAGTCAAGACCAAGTCGAGACCAAGCCAAGACCGAGACCAAGCCAAGACCGAGACCAAGCCAAGACCGAGACCAAGACCAAGTCAAGACCGAGACCAAGTCAAGACCGAGACCAAGTCAAGACCGAGACCAAGTCAAGACCGAGACCAAGTCGAGACCAAGACCAAGTCGAGACTAAGTCGAGACCAAGTCAAGACCGAGACCAAGTCAAGACCAAGTCGAGACCAAGCCAAGACCGAGACCAAGACCAAGCCAAGACCGAGACCAAGCCAAGACCGAGACCAAGTCAAGACCGAGACCAAGTCGAGACCAAGACCAAGTCGAGACTAAGTCGAGACCAAGTCAAGACCAAGTCGAGACCAAGCCAAGACCAAGACCAAGCCAAGACCGAGACCAAGTCAAGACCGAGACCGAGACCAAGTCAAGACCGAGACCGAGACCAAGACCGAGACCAAGTCGAGACTAAGTCGAGACCAAGTCAAGACCGAGACCAAGTCAAGACCAAGTCTAGACCAAGCCAAGACCGAGACCAAGCCAAGACCGAGACCAAGCCAAGACCGAGACCAAGTCAAGACCGAGACCAAGTCGAGACCAAGACCAAGTCGAGACTAAGTCGAGACCAAGTCAAGACCGAGACCAAGTCAAGACCAAGTCGAGACCAAGACCGAGACCAAGTCAAGACCGATCAAGACCAAGACCACATAAAAGTGGTCTCGAGAAATACATCCCTAGTCTGTGCATGTGAAAGCATGTGATTGCATGAACAGAGATCAGTATTTAAGTGACCTTCATGTGTGTGTTCACAGACTGCGAGTATCGGTGGGCTGTACGACGGAGCTGAATCATCTGGGTCACCAGTTCCTCCAGAAGCTCTTTGATAAGTATGATGAGGTAAGGCATGATGATGATGATGATGATGGATTTGACCCTCTTATGAACTTTGCGTGCTTAAGGTTTCATTGGGCTTACGATTGTGTCTCTCCTCCTGCAGGATAAGGACTCAGCCCTGTCTCCCGCAGAGCTGAAGAATCTGTTTAGTGTTTTACCCTACATGCCCTGGGGCTCAGCGGTGTACGGTAGTGTCCCCCTAACGGACGAGAGCTTCATCTCCCAACACGGATACTTCTGCCAGTGGATGTGAGTGGACGTTCAAACCGCACAATACACGTTTATATGGATCGTTTTGCTTTCTGAGAGTCACTTTTTTTAGTTTATTTTATGATTATCTTGTGGCCTTTCCCACAAGAGCTGATGGCATTGATACACATTGAACCTGTTCTATTCAATTCTGATTCTGAAGTACCACTGTGTCACTAAATCACCAGACTGACTCAGAGTAATTCTTGTTTTTGTATTTTAGAAGAATTCACTAAAAGGACCAGATTGAAAGACTTATTTGTTTGTAAATCAGACAATACTAGTTGTACTGAATTGTTTGTGATTCACTGGAAAGAACTAGTTAATAGCAATCATTTGTTTGTGAACCTGACTATACTTGATCTTTATTATGACTCACTGTAAGAGTCATTTGTTCGGGAGTCTGACGTCGCTAGCGGTGCTGTATGTTTATGATTTCCCAGGAAAAAACACAGTTTGTAAACTAGACTACACTCGTTGCTCGGTTTTTATGATTCACATAAAATTAAGAGTCCATTAGGCTGCGAGTCATTTGAGTCAGACCACACTGGCTGCACTGTATGTCAAATACAGGGTTTCCGCGGGGTCTTAAAAAGTCTAAAAAAGTCTAAAATTTCTAAATCACAATTTAAGGCCTTAAATTTGCTGAAATATTGTGTTCTAGGTCTTAAATAATTTTAAACAGGTCTTAATTTTCCTGCGTCCATGTAAATCTCATTGAAATGTTCCTGCAGTGTTTTGGAATGTTTAAAAAAAAAAAAATATTCTGTGGTTGTAGTTCTTTATTTTGCTAGTTCAAATATAATTCGCTGTATTACGACTACAAAATAGACCAATATGCAACAGCCAATCAGTTTTGAGGTTTCGTGTTATTGGCGCGTATCTCAGATACCACAGACGGACGTAAAACGGATTTTAAGTTTAGCAGTACTTGGCTTGAAATATCTGAATTTTGGATCAGATTTTGGTGATTTTTAATTTTGCTTTTGGATCAGAGCCAACGGAGGTGTTCTGGGTTCTCCACTCGATGACAAGACACCAGTCCTACTTTGTTTCAAATGATGTTTCCGGAGTCTGACATCGCTAAATCCTTCTGGTGCGGGAAAGATAAAACGGCCTACATTACACGCTTTGGAATAGAGGATTTTATAAAAACAGAAACAGAACTAATTTCCAAAATCACGGGACCGTTCGCGCTGATTTTCGGTGAATGTTCAGTTTGAATAAATTAAATTACTTTGCAAATAATTTTGAGACTCGTTACGCGTTTCCTTTTGTACGTTTTTTTTACGTTTTTTTTCGTGATATAGGTCTTAAATTTCATTCACAATGGTCTTAAAAAGGTCTTAAAAAGTCTTAAATTTGACTTTGTGAAACCTGCAGAAACCCTGAAATATACGACTTACTACAAAAAAAAAAAAAATCTTGTTAAAAAAATTCTTAAAAAAATAATACAAAAATCTGACTAGTTCCCCTGTGTGTATTTGGACCACTAAAAACAAATTGCTGAAATATTTAGTATAACTTTATATTAAGATTTGTATTCATCCCATCTTTTCGGGTCTTCTCGTTTCACATTAAACTTTGCCAGCAAACTTGGCTAAAATGAGACTTATTGTGGTGCAGGAAACTGACATAGAGGTTGCTTTTAATCCAGAATTTGGATTACCTGGAATCTGAAAACAGAACATGAAACCGTTTCTGTATTATTATTCCACATTACTTTAAATATAATGCGTGATTGTACGAACTGCAGGTTATCTGCTTATCTGGATGTGCACCGGTGTTTGGAGCATCTGGGATACCTCGGGTATCCGATTCTAATGGAGCGAGAGTCCCAGACCTCCGCTGTCACGGGTAATGAGATCCTCACACACACCGGCTTTAAACTCCACGCCTGTTTGAACAAACGGATGCTAAAGAATATTTCTGTTTTTTTCTGTGTGTGTGTATTAGTAACAAGAGAGAAGGCATTAGACCTGGAGAAGAGACAGACACAGCGGACGGTTTTCCTCTGCAAAGTGATCGGTCCCCGCGGAACGGGAAAGACAGACTTTCTTCGAGCTTTTCTGCAGCGAAGCACTGAGGTGAGCAATTTTACTGTACGAAATACTGCATGAAGCCAGTCACAACAAACCGCAGTCGGATCAGAACGTATATGATGTTTAATATATTTTAATGGACCAATGAGATTCCGCCACTGGCTGATGCATTAAATAAAAGAGGTTGCTTTATCGTGGATTTTCAACTTTTTATCAAGCAGATGTTTGTATTTCTTTCATTTATACAAATTAAAACACACGACATACAGTAAAGAAAGAACATTAATATTAATATACAAAAACGTTTTCAAAGATTTTTCTAGTCGACTAGGAGTTATTCATTTGAGCCATTAATCGACTAGTTGCACATTTATGATATTAATTTCATTACATAAATGTTGTATAGTATATAGGAGGTTGCATTGGACAAAGAGTTTCAGGGCTACAGGAAGAAAGTATATTAACATTGTTCTTTATTACAGAGAAATAATAAACCATAACAATGAGGCTTATATAAATTAAGCACTTGAACACTTGCCACAGCGACACTGGCAAAAGTAATGATGTCCATAAAAAACAAATGAGGCTGCCTGAGCATTAATCATTTATTAATAAACTAGGGTTTTCTAGCGAGTCATAAAGTTGAGTGCTGATTTGTCATCGCCACCACACTTTATTTTTAATTCTTTTTGTCTACTAAGCGTCTTCTCGAGTTATAGTACTTAGTATTTTACTCTAGAAAGAGTTTTTCTTCCACACTTTGTAGTCTGTTTAGGAAATAATTATCCATTGTGTGATTCTCATTTACATCTACCAAATATTTACAATGCTGTTTATTTTCAGAGAAATGACTGTGACCCTGGCCTCCCTTCAATATACACCATCAACACCGTCTCAGTAGCCAATCAAGAGAAGTACCTCATCGTAAGCACCGCCTCGAGCTTTACGCGTGCCCTAGTTTATTGGTTCCCCCCTGACGTGTGTGTTATTCCTCGCAGCTGGAGGAGGTGGACGTGGAAACAGAGTTTCTAAAAGCAGCAGATGCGGCGTGTGATGTGGCGTGTCTCATGTATGATGTCAGCGACCCGGACTCGTTCAACTATTGTGCTAGTATATATAAGGTGAGGAACAAGATGCTTGACACACGCCTTACTCATATTCATTAATCACTTTAAATATCGGATTGTGCAAATTAATTAATAACCCATAATGACCTGCATCTGTCGGTGAATAATATATGATGATGTGAGTTGTTCATTTCACCTGTGTGGCTAACTTTTTAGTTATTAAATAAACGTACAGCCCATCTAATGATCTGGAAAGGACACTCATCATGTTGATGGCCTTCATTGATAGAAAGCTGAATTTATTTCTTGGGCGTTAATAGTGTATTTAACAGAATTTTGGGTCCCACTTTATATTTAGTGGCTTTAAGTACTATGTACTTGCATTGAAATTAATAAGTTGATACAATTGACTTATTTTGCACATACATGTTTTTACATTGTAACATGTAATTACAGCTATAATTAATTTATGTAATTACATTTGTAATTACACAGGTGACCCCTTCCCTCACACCTTAAACTACCCTTAAACCTTACCCGTATCACACCTCAATAGCAGCAAAAGTGTTTTACAATACAACAGGAACACAATAATACATTGTACGTATTGTTCAATGTAAGTACATAGTACTTAAAGCCACTTAATATAAAGTGGGACCAAATTTGGTAAATAAAAATTGAATTACATAACCTACTGTTCACATGTTTGGGGTCAGTAATTTTTGTATTTTTTAAAGATTTAATACTTTCTTTCAGCTTAAAGGGATAGTTCACTCCAAAATAAAAATTCTGTCATTACTCATCCGTTGTAAAAGTCTAAATTCAATCTGTTCATCACATAAAGCGATCGAGTCTCTAAAGCGAAAATTTAATTATGGATTAGTTTTACCATCTCTTTTGAACTTTTTGAAGCGTCAAAGTGGTAGTTGGGTCAGAAAACGCTCAAATTTCATAAAATAATTTTTTTTTGGGGGTGAACTATCCCTTTAATGACTAATGGTGCGTTCACGTGCAATGGTAACCAGAAGCTGATGAAGTGTGTTTCTGCATTGTTCCCCTGTAGCAGCACTATATGGACAGCGGGATCCCGTGTGTGGTGGTGGGCTCCAAAGCCGATCTGATAGAAGTCAAACAGCATCATGGGATGAGCCCGTCTGAGTTTTGCTACAAACACCGGCTGCCTTCGCCCCTCCGTTTCTCCACGCTGCTCACACACACTCACACACACATTTACAGCAAGCTCACCTGGGCCGCCATGTACCCGTAAGTACACGCGCATCTTACCATTTAATTTTAGATATATACTGTACAAGAAGCCAAAATTGACAACTTCGCCCTTTATTTAATAAATGTGTTAAAGAGTTAATGCATGGTGTCAATCGTTTTATGTGTGATCATCAGAGCCCGACCGATAAAGGATTTTGAAGGCCGATACCGACACAAATATTTTTGGGTTTTAAAAACGATATTCCGATATATCGGCCGATATTTTATTTATTTATTTGAAAATGGACATGGTAGTCACAAATTTTGTCATGCTTATTTGAGTTAAGAGAACTGATGGGGATGTTCTTTTAATGTATGTATCGTGACCAACTCAAGGAGTGTTGGCAACAGGAACGGTGTAGAGTGCCCTCTGGTGGACAAACTATACAACTCCAACACTCATGACATGGTTCAAGCGTGTTTCGTCCGTTTGGATAGTTTGGAAAATGCCTAATATCGGCCGATAATATCAGCCTGCCGATATATCGGTCTGGCTCTAGTGATAATGCAATGAAACAAATCATTTTGTCAGATAAATTACCTTAACCAAGTTTAGTGTTCTGCTCTACTCTTATATTTAAAATAATATAAAATATTTTCCACCTATTTTGATGGTTTAATCAAACTTGTTGAGTCATAAAAACAAATATACATGCATATAAATGTATTTATTTTTAACATTTTTAATTAAGTTGCTAAATTGCACTTATATTAAACTCCTTGCAATCGTTTGCGAGACTTTTTCTCGAGTTATAATCTAATCAACTCCTATTGGATAAAATGACCTTCTTTTTGTGTTTGAATATCACATGCCGCTCGTAAATATTTCTGCTGAGTAAAATGGCTTACAAGCATTGCACGTTGACTTCAATGATTTGCGGATACCAGACTAAAATTAGCCTGCTTGACTGTGTGTGTGTGTGTGTGTCATCAAGGTCACTAGAAATACTGTGTGTATTTAAATCTCTCTCTCTGTGTGTGTCTGCAGGCACCTGAACGGATCAGACATGAGCAGCACATCTTTCTGGCTGCGTGTGACTCTGGGCGCCACGATAGCGGCCATGCTGGGCTTCGCTCTGTTCAGAGCCTTCAGCCGACACAAATGATGCTCGCGCATTTCGTACACACAGATAAACACACACTCCTTCATTTCCTGCACTCTGTCTCGGCCTTACAGAGTCATTGTGGCTTATCAAGGGTGTGAAGCCCTGCTAGTTACAGTGACAGCAACACAATTAAGCAGTCGATTGGGTTTTCTTTGTCTTTTTTCTTCAGCTGGACTAAATTACCACACACACGCTTTTGCTTTCACTACGAAAACTTGCCGGCTTTACCGTATGACCCCCAAGGACGTTTTCCAACATGTTTCAAGAGGAGCAACATTATATAACAGGTTATGTTTCGAATTGTACAGAGTTTGTAATGTATTTAAGAGTTTGGGAAATCAATATAGATCGAGAATATATATATATATATATATATATTCAAACTCTGAAACAGTGTCGAGGTCAATTCAGTTTTTCCTCAGCCACTTCAGGAAATGCACTTCATTTTTGTTCATAACTCATCCTCTCAGAATATTTGAGAAGCTGAAGTACGTTCTTTGTTAAATCGAAGTTAAGCTCTAGTTAAATGCTACGGATGATGTCATCTGAAAATCACAAAGCTAAATGAAGTGCCTCTTCTTAATTGGCTGATATTAAAACTGAATACATTTCCATGTCATGTTCCTCAGATGGCTGTTTATGTGTATGGACCATGACTGACAAATAACTGTTGTTATTATTATTATTATTTTAAGATGCCGAGGCAAAATTCATTGATGCTTTTGGACATCGCTAAACTGGGCCCAAACTCTTGCTTTGCCTGTATTGATTGTAGGGTCGAATGATCTCTCGTTTGAAATTGCAGTAGGGATGGATGGTGTTAATAAGTGTATTTTAAATGATATTTTAAGAAGATGAAATGCTCTGATGCTTTGGACGTCTTATAGATCAGGATAGACCGTAGAGGATGACTTGGCTGACTGTATTTAATTATAATATTGTGCAAACTGGATTTATCTCAGTACTGTTACTGTTTATTGGGCCAAGTAAAATTAAAAAAGGGTTTCATTTTAGCCTAAAAACATTTACTCAACACTGAAGGACTGTCTAGAAATTTGCATGGTCAGATATTTCTTCAAAATGATAGAACTCACTATGGATGTCCCGATTCATTGTTTTAATTTTCAATTTCAATATTTTGTTCAGTATTAATGCCCAGTATTAAAAATGGTGAGCTCAACTTGTCTTCAGTATCAAATGAGATGTTCGAATAGAAATATTTTGTAATAAACTAGCGTTTTTTTCTGGTGATTTTCTGGAATGGTGTGTTTGATCACATGACTCTGAATCTAAGAGGCTGATTGGCTGATTGTCTCTCGTTGAGCTCTTATGCATAACCATTCAGCCATTTTATATATTTCTGTAACTAATAGAAATTAACTTTTTATGCTTAAATGTGACAGGCAGATCTAATTTCTGTTCCGACGATACAGCATCACGTTTCAAGAACACTGCAAAATACATTGAGGTGAGTTTGGAAAGTTGACTTGTGTCCAACATCAAGAATAAAAGATATAATGTCTAAACATCTGAGATAAATTATATTATTGGCATAACCTTTCGAGTAAAGTGTTTAATAATAGAAACCTGCTGATCCTGTTCTCCAGCATGATTTATGATGATCTAAACTCTGAAGAGCATCACATTTGATTAGAGACAGAAATCTGAAATGTTTCAACATGATGTGATTTTAAGTTATTTAAAAAAAATGTTAAGCTTAATATTTCCAGGGTTATTTGAGAAAGAAAAAAATCAGGTTGAGGTCTCAGACTTTAATGCAAATGTATAAGGGAAAGTACATTTATTTTACAGTCACCTTTTTAAATACTTTTTTGCCGTTTACTTGAATAGTAATGCGGTATCACAAATTAATGTTTTTGTTTTATGAAGATTTTATATTAAAAATAGTTAAGTAGTCTAATGCAGAATTATAGTTTGTTATATAATTATAGCTGTTTTATTTTCAGTTTGATCTTTAGTTTTATAAGTTTCTGTACATTTTTATTTGAACTATTTGAAATAAATAGCCTACATCCAAGTCTTTAAGAAGAATGTGTAGCACTTCAAACTATTATCCTCATGTTATTCATGATTAACTAAAGCATATTATAAAGACTTAAATTATGCCGTGTATCAAACTAAAACTAATGTGGGCATTTTTTTTTTCAGTTTACTTTTTCTTTCAGTTTGAAATTGTTTTCATTTGGATTGTATTTCTCGACAAACCGATACTTTGGCATTACACGTCATCAAAGCATTTGCATTTGCCCCAGCGTGACACTGACAGATGCAGTTCTCCGACGAGACCGCGGGGGCAGCACTGAGTCAAACCCAAAGATGCGCTTCACCTTTTCGCTCTGAGATCAACTGGAGGTTGCGGTCCCTGAAGACCCCCATCTCTCGCGGGACCAGAGTGTCATAGTACCCGTTTAATCTGCTCGCACTCCATGTAAACACCAGACAAACTACTGCGTTTGAAATGAAATATGTTTATTGATGCACAGTATGGACAGCAATGGAGCTAATTACAACAGTCCACGTCACAAGTTGATTCTGTACATCGCCATCATATATAAGTCACCGTTCTTCATACAAAGACATTTTATTATTGTTCTTCACAGTCCTAGAATGACCTAAAATAAGCATCGACATATCTAATTGGCAAATTAATTACTATGTCTCTGGATGAGGATGATAATAGTGTGCAATACAGTTCAACTTAGTTAAAGAAAAAAAAAAAAAAAAGTCCAGGAATTTTTTTTTTTAAATAAATAGTTTTGATGCCGTTTCGATGTCTCGGATCTTCTTTATAGAGTCACAATTGCGCACAAAAAAAGTTTCTGGAGAAACACGCTGTAAAAGTGCGCGCACAAAGACCTTAGAAAAATAACAATATACCAAAAAACATTTCCTTCGAAAAAGTTTATTTACACCGAGTTTTGAATGAGTCCGTCCGTCGGCTGGAAATCCCTTTACTTCTTTTTCCCCGTTTTCCTGGTCGACGTCTTGGGTTTGGGTCTCGCCGTTTTCGCCTTCTTGGCTTTGCTCGCCTTGGCAGGTTTGGCCACCTTCGCCTTCTTGACCACTTTCTTGGCTTTAACGGGCGATTTCTTCTTCTCCGCCACCTTCTTCACTTTCTTCTCGGCAGCTTTCTTAGTTTTCGCTGGGGATTTCGCCACTTTCTTGGGCTTGGGGGCTTTCTTGGGTTTGGCAGCGGCTTTGGCTGGCTTCTTGACTTTCACGGCTGCTGGTTTGGGTTTCTCGGGCTTTTTGACGTCATCAGCTTTGGCCAGTTTGAAGGATCCCGAAGCACCGATGCCCTTGGTGTGGCGAAGGAGCCCACCGGCCACCAGACGCTTCAGGGCGAGTTTGATCTGGGAGTCGGCGTTGTCTCCCACCTTGTAGTGGTTTTTCACGTACTTCTGGATGGACTGACGCGACGCGCCGCTGCGGCTCCGGTCGGCGGCGATGGCCGCTTTGATCATGTCAGAGTATTTGGGATGCGACGCCGCTTTCTTGGAGCTTTTCGCCTTCTTTGGCCTGGATGCGGGTGTCGCTGCGGTCTCAGCCATGGTCGATCCGTGAGGATTTCAAACAATAACTCAACTGTCAAAAACTCTCTCACGAGAAAGTGAGGGGAAATTCTTGAGGAGCTGTTAAAAATGATGAAATTAAGTCCGCGTCACACCTTGGTCTTTGTTTAGTTTTGAGTTAAAATATTTATTCAAATAACCCACAAATGAGTGCCGTTGAAAGTGTGTATATTATTCGGCGAAGTGCGCCTGTACTATATATGAAGCCTCCACGCGGACGTGATTGAGAACACCAACTGCCAGCAGCTGATCAAGCGGGCTTCCATGAAATCTGCGCGGGCTGGTTTGTGTTTCTTCCTCCTCGAATTGAGGCCGAATTCAGCCAGACTCGTTTGATACCGACCCTCCCAACGCCACGGCCAGAGAGGGGAGGCTTTGGGCTTCATGTGCGTGTGTCGGTTTAGCCTGAATTCATTGCGCCATTAACTTTTTTTCCCTGAAAATCAGCTCAAACCGGCGAGCGCGGTGATGGATTTTGCAGAATTCGCGTAAAAATAGCACAAAACAACGAAACCGAGCCGGAAAACACCGAATGTATATGAAAGCCCCATCAACACACTGGAGGACAGGGTGGGTTTGATTCATATAAAACGTCGTTTTCGTTTTTAATAAGCTGAAGTAGCTGACGAACTAACACAGTCTGGCCACTGAGTCCGCGTGACGTTTCTCCGATTATTTATTGTTAAACCTTCTATAAATGAAATGTGCGCGAAATAAAGTGGCTCTCATATCGTGGGTCATATTCACACATTTTAAGAGGTGTCGGTGTAATGTATGAGCTATAGATATAAACGAGTAAAACGTTATAGTGTATAAAGAAGCAGCTCCTATGCTGAGTGTTCTGGAAGAAGAGCTCGGATGTTAGGAAAGTTGCCAACGACCCAAAGACCAGCTTTACCGACCAGAACCCACCGGTACCGTGGTCAGGTTGAACATATCGATCTGTGTATTGCATTCCCGGTGTTTTGTGCGTTATGGATCTGATAAACATATGAGGACTGATCAAACTGAGCTGGATGCTTTAAACGCTCGCGCATTCTTTTGTTATCTCTCCGTTTGGCAGGGAAGCGCGTATCCCGTCGGTTTGTTTTCCCTTATTTCCTCACTGTTCACTTTTAAGTCATCAATTTAGTTCAGGCTCTTATCGGGCTGATGCACAGTTATATTATTATCGCCCCTGCTTGTTCTGGTATTCACATTTCCAGGCTGGATGGTGTTTCAGTCAGAACGCCATCTTGAATCTCTTCACTTCAGGGTTTTCAGTTCACATCTATTGTAAAGCCCGCTTTAGTGAACTTTTAATTAGACTACTATGTTATTGGTAATTAAACTTAAGTTGATGAACCAGATTAATAGCATTTTTATTTGAACTTTGTACTCAAGTTTGAGCGCGTGACGCTTTAACTAGTGCGCAGGTAGTTTTCTCTCATTAATAACATTCAAAATTGAACATTATTTAATTTTTTGATTTTATTATAATGTTGATTATTAGTTTCTGCTTGACATCAGGCATGGACTCTTAAATATATGGCTTCTTTTGTTACACTTGCACTGGATTGTAAAAGAATTACATTATAGTATATTAAGCTCTGTGCACATTACGCACACCTGTGATCACTGTCATTCCCGTGTGTGTGTGTGTGTGTTTGACACAGTCTTGGTGTAGTGTCTGCAGGTGTCTAGTGCTGAAAACAGCACCTTCCCTCAGTCTGTGCAGTGTGCACTCAACCCATGTCAATTAGATGAATAGATAGATATGCATAGATAGATAGGTGCACATATTACATGTTGACATAACAGTAGGACTAGAAATACTAAGGTAAACTGATCCAGGAAATATTTACATTTGTATTTTTCATTATTTACTCATGTAATGGCAATAATAACCCAGTGTACTGACCACTGAATACTGTAGTTTCCTCCACACAATGCCAGAATTATTGTATTTTGTCATTTAATACGCTGTAATTAACATTTTATTTTTTTTCCCTATAGGCACTGTAGCAGTTACATCACTGCATGACATCAACCGTCGCGTGAGCTTCCTGTTAAATACGGTATGGCTTATATCTACATGACAAAAGTGTGATTGTCTATAAAAATCTTCTTTTAAAAAAAATTGTGCTTTGTTATGGAATTTCACCTAAAGCATAAAAGCATGTAAATTCATGTCTGTTAAAAGCTAGTTATTGACAGCAGGTAAAAATACATGAAATTACAGACTGACATCCAGAATAGGCATGTGACTCAAACAATAGTATATATAAGAACAGACTGAAGCATTATTATAAAAGACTGAACGATTTTTGTAATGGAAACCCTGCTAATTTAATATCAGGAATTGATAATTGAAAGAAAACTTTGACTTGATCAGCATCATACTTATGTGTCTTTAAAATGTCCAGTTAGAGAAATGTGTGGATTAAAAGTCTTTGTGTCAGATATGGTGTATAGAGAATGACTTGCATGAGTTTGAGCAGGAGAGGGCAGCACTGCTCTGTTCTGCAGCGATCACTGTGTGGAAATGAGGCATTAGTATATAGGGTATTAAATAATTATCATTTCTCTCTATAATTAGCTCTAACAATATATTTCATTTAATTACTTTACTTACAAATCAACAAATGAAAAATATGCATATAAATAATCTAAATGTGGCAACTGGTTATTTTGCTGATCCACACCTCATAGTCAGTGTGGGCTAATGTGATTACATGCAGGAAAAATATATTGATTGATGCTTCCTCTGAAAAACAGATTTAATGGGGATTTATGCTCATTGATCAAGGTCAGTGCTGTCTGTCTTATATTATGCTACCAGAGTCGTGAAGGTCATGAAGTTCATAAACATGAGGCCAGTAATGGATTGATAGCACACAAGTAACAGAAAGAATGAATAAGTCACAAATACTTTAGTCGATGAAGTGTCCGTCAGCGTCATTGATCCACCGTGACACCTCATGGAGACGCTGTAGAGGTGTTACAGCAGACTCAATCACACCAGACATATTCATAAAGATGATCGTGGTCAGCGTAGAATCAAAATTCTGGCTTATGTTCATTTTAGAAGAGACCAGGGATTGGTGAACCCGCACGATAGGGTTTTTATTTCCATGTGAGCTTTCAAATCACCAACAATTAGAGTGTGTTATAACACTTCTGTTTACAAAGAAAATCCGCACAATCAGTTTAGCTCCAGGTTAAAATCTGTCGCGATTGTTAGTGGTGTTTTCTGACATTGTTCATAATTAGGGTTAGAGATTTGAATAAACCTCTAACACTGAGTCATCAATTTTGGTGTGTAGCTCGTCCCAAACCGTTTGTGCTACAGAAACCTATATGGCAAAAAGTATAGTTTTTAACACTTATTTTTGATTTTTTTCAGTTTTTTTTTATTTTATTTCCATATATATATATAATAGCCACAAAATTGAGGTAATATATTTATGTAAATGTATTATATCTATATTAGATACATATTTTAATATAGTATATATTGATATATTTTTTTATATATAATATATGCAGATATATTACAAATATATTAAATTGGCCCTATTTAGGAAATAGTAATGTAAAAATATTTTAAAATCTATATTAGATATATATTTTTTGTATACTTTGATATATATATAATATTTTGATTACAGTATTTTGTTGTATCTCAAATCAAATCAATGTGAACTTTAAAATCACCAACAATTAGAGCGTATTGTCATAAAGTCTTGTGTCTGTAAGAAATCTGCACAGCCTGCTTAGCCTAGGGTGAAAATCTGTTGAGATTTTTTACTGACAGTGGCTTAATGCAAAGATATAAATATTTTTTACCCGTTTGGCTGCTTCCTATTCTGAGTTGAGTCAATCTGAAACAAACTGTGTTAAAATGATGACCCAGATATCCAAGAAGAGCAGTATATTCACACGAGGGGTCAGTACCACTGCTCTCCGCATCATATGCAAACCTAATATATATAAATTGAAATCCCACACTTTTGCACCACTGATGATAATAATCCTCTAAACGTTCCCTATTAACATCTACTAGATTACTTTAATTCATGAATAGCACCGAGGCATTCTGGACTTTAGAGATTCATCTTTATTACCACAGTTAAACGCTCCTCAGAGATAATAACTAAGCCAAATGACTTAATTAGTGTGTTTCAGGATGTGTATGTGAACACCATATTACAAGCACAAGCTGTGACTGAACAGCGTGTTTTAGGGTTTGTAGTATCTGCTGTGTGTGATTAATGCCTGATTTAGGAAACCTGAGTGCGCTTGCGCTGTGTGTGTGTGTGTATGTGTGTGTGTGCACTGCAGTGAATGTGTGTTTGTGTGTGTTTAGTCTCTCTTTAAGACTCCTGCAGGGTAGATGGAGAGCTGCAGCTCTTTGGACACGCCCCCCCGGCCTCTGATTGGCCGCAGACCGCCGCCTCCTTCCCCTCCTTCATTGGTATTCAGGTAGTACAGTCTTTGTGGAGGACAGAGGAGAGAGAGGGCGAGAGAGGGAGAGATTTACATAGGTAAAGGCGACACGAGCACACCGAGACGGGCGAGCGGAGAGGGACTGAAGGGTAGAGTAGAGGAAGGAAAGGGACAGAAAGTGCACTGAAGGTGAATCTTTGAGCTGGATGGAAGCGGGTGCGAAAGTGTCACAAAGATCTATGGGTTCTGGATGCTGACCGGGACTTTGGATTTTAACCCTTCTGGGATCGAGCGAACCTCACTGGAGGGAATCCTGCAGATACACCACTGGCCCTCGCTAGAGTGTGTGCAAGGGGTCTCTGTCCCCGCTGGGGAGGCGTGCCGCACAGACGGGCCAACGTGTGTGTGTGTGGACGTGTCTCTGTGTGTGAAATCCCCCTATGTCCTTCTTTTTGTGGCTGTGTGTGCACCAGGGCCCAGTATATGGATAGAAGCTCTCTGTTTCAGCTCATACAAGAGCAGGTAAGCAGCAGCAGCAGGTTGCTATGGTTACTGCATCCTCCCGTGCGTCGATGTGCATGTGTGTGCATGTGTTCCTAGGCCGATATGAAGCGAGACGGACAGTTGGAATGAATGAGTACAGGAGTGTGTGTGTGACTGAGAGAGGTCCTTATGTTCAGTCAGTGGCTGTTACTCTGCTAGTAGTACACTAGACATTCGCTTGGAGCACTCGCTTGGTTCTTCTGACTGTGCTAAAATGTGGAAATTACACTTAAA